TTCGTAGGGATTTCACAAGGAAATCCGTTTATTTGCAGCCCACGATTTGTTTACCGCTCCTGGAAGTTTCAACTTACATGAAAAGGTAATCCATCAACATCTAGTTCTTTCAACCATGTCGCAACCATAATTTAGAAAATGGAACAGTTGGACAGAGCGTTCCTCAATTCAGAATTGGACTATTTCGAATTTTTTGCAACAAAAATATCAAGTAGTAAGGAAAACAGATCAATGATTGTTTAGCAAGATTGTGACAAATTAACATTTCAAAACATGTGTACTGGGTTATTCATTATATTTTGACGCCTACCTACAGGGTTAATTTTAAAAGATAGAAAAAATGTATAAATACAAAAGTTTTAAGTAAGATTTTTGCTCTATTATCTTATGCAAATGTCAGAAAAAACAAACGACAATCGCAACCTGTCAAAATGACAGCAACATCTTTTTTTTAATCGAATGCCTTATATATTATTAGCTTAAGTCGTAGATAATTTAGCCGTTTTTGAGATATTTCTGTCATTCGATTTCTGGACAATAACCATATTGCTTAAAAATGGTCAAGTCTGCCTTGATAGTAACCATATTCTCTATGATTGTAATTGTTTTAATAATGTTCTACTTTTGACAACTAATCAAAACTAAAGATCTACAGCGTTAGTTAAATAACTTAAGATTTTTCAAATGGGTTATACTGAGGAAGGAAGACGGCAAAGAATAAAATTATATTATTCAACCGGAGATAATGTTGTAAGGGTTAAAAGTGATTTTTTTAAAATTAAAAATGTAATTAAACAATTTGAAGACCGAAATAGTCTCACACAGAAGATCAGGACAATAGAACGAAATTTTGATAAAGACCACAATATATTGCTTTACTTTAATTAATTAATAATTGATAATTAATTTTTATTCTTTTGAAGTTTGCTAAGTTTCAGTTTTACGCATCACTAGATATCATGTGAAACAAGATTTGACAAGACACCACCTACCTAAAACTTAAATACATAAATATAACCAAATAAATGAAGCATATGTGGGGGGAAGGGAACTACGTGTAGGGATTACTTAGTGCGGAATAATAATAATAAATCGCATCGAATATGACGCTGAGTGTGATAAGACATACCCCAATACCCTTGGAATTTAAAATACTTTCATTGCAGGGAAATGCCAAGGATCGCATAGCATTGAATGCACAGTAAATAATTGAGGATTTAATTGTTTTCCTTACAGGTAAACAGCATATAGGTACCCGTGGCCAATTAAGTAAGGCAAAATACCCTAGCTCGAAAAGTAATGTAAAGATTTGGATAGAAAAAATATTATTTTTATTATTACCGTCCTCTTAATAGAATTTGGTGCGGAGTATCCGAACAATATCGGAAAAAAGTGTCAATAACTTCATAATGCCGCAACACATGTTGTTAAATTTGGTTTGTTGTTAGATTTTGATGATTGATTGGTTCGTGATTATTCAGTAATACCCGCTAAACGATGCGATGAGTTAAACATCAATCGCAGCGAACAATGCCTTTAGTCAACGAGTGATTTTGTGTGGTTGTGTTGAAATGTGAACGAATTCCAGGATTACCTCTGGAAAGCAAACAGGATTGGAAGAATTTCCATGGATGGCCCTTTTATAGAAAATTTAAATATCTACTGATTAATTTTATATTACATTACACATTTACATTTTACAACCGCCGCTATTTGGTATTATATAACCCATGCTAATTTAAAAAAAAAACCTTAGAACTTGCTGCGTTATGTTTTTTTCTATTATAAGTAAGGGGTGTTTTTTTTTCGATGTATAGAACTTTAAGTTGCAATAAAACAACGATGGATTATTCGATTGACATGAATTTTATTTATCCGAAAGATAATCTTGTTGCATTACATTTTAAATATGGTTTCTGGCATACGACCGCCACGGCTGGCGCGGATGTAGTCCAATCGAGACATCCAATTTTCGATTAATTTTTCCAACATTTGTGACCGTATATCGGCAATAACACGGCGAATGTTGTCTTGCAAATGGTCAAGCGTTTGTGGCTTATCCGCATAGACCAATGACTTCACATAGCACCACAGAAAGTAGTCTAGCGGTGTTAAACCACAAGATCTTGGAGGCCAATTCACAGGTCCAAAACGTGAAATTAGGCGGTCACCAAACGTGTCTTTCAATAAATCGATTGTGGCATGAGCTGTGTGACATGTTGCGCCGTCTTGTTGAAACCACATCTCTTCGACATCATGGTTATTCAACTCAGGGATGAAAGAGTTGGTAATCATAGCTCTATACCAATGATTCCACCAGCCCATAAAGCGCACCAAACAGTCAGTTTTTGTGGATGTAACGGTGTTTAGACATACACTTGAGGATTAGCTTCGCTCCAAATGCGGCAGTTTTGTTTGTGACAGCTGTCAAATCGGTCACCATCTTGAACAGTTTTGCCAACTTAAAGTTCTATACATCGGAAAAAAACAACCATTACATATGTTCAGAATCATTAAATAATATAACCAAGAGAATTGTATCGAATTTTTGTCACTTTGAAACCTATGATGACCATTAATTTTGAAAGTATGATCTAAAAATAAATTAGGCAAATCACGTTTTAAGACGAAAGTGTTTTAATATTTATATTATTACGTCATATCCGACAAGACCCCGTAACAAAGAGGCGCCGCCTTGTTTTTTTTGCCGATCGTAAAATATATCGGCGTCTCAGGCAAAAAGGACAGGGAGGGCAAGTTGCGGTGAGGAGATAATTAGGGTATTATTATGCGATGTTTTTTGGGTTTACGATAAGTTAGTTAAGACGTAGTTGTCGAACCGAGAGCATTAAACTCGATTCTGCTTCATTACGTTGTTTTATTTTGATTATCCTTACAAAAGCTAAGTTGGATGAAAGTATAAAATCGCGCAATATAGTAATTGATTTTATTTCTAGCAGATGGAATAGATTTTCGTTGTGGAGGTACCCTAATAAATGCCAGATATATAATCAAAGCAGCACATTGTATTATAAATACTATGTCTATGTAAGTAGCTGACTTATAATTATTTAGGTGCTGACGTCTCTATTAACACTAGGCACTAAAGTAGTAATAGCTATAATTGAAATCGACTATATGAATAAGTAACTTCAAACTCAGACGTGCTATTTTTATAAAATTTGAATAAATTTAAGACTTAAACAAGTTAAAAGAATTAAAGTTTTCACTTAAAGCTGAACGTGAATATATTTGATTACCAAAATTTCGGTCGGAGAGAGATCATGATCACCCCGATCAGGAGTTTCGAATATTTTTCGACTGGCGATGTTTTTTTTTATAATCGACTATTATAAGAATTTAGTTTCTTATTGTTAACAAATTCATCAACAAGATTTTGGGGACCCATGCTTCCATGTTGAAATAAGACCTGTTTTCCCACTAATTTGTTATAGGTTTTTGAGGTATTTGGTTCACTATTAAAGCGTTTTTGAATGCACATTTTCCTTTTTCTTCGCATTTCAATTCTAATACAGAAAGCTAATTTTCAATTTTGTTTACAAACTTTTTATTCCATTGTAATTTATTTGCATCTGCAATACTTACTCACTCATGGTCTTCACTTACTAATTAAAACTTTTGACGAAACAATGGAAAATGTAATCGTTACTAAGGCGAACCATAATACTCCATGGATCGGCAACGAAGCGTTTGTTGAGTCTTTCTTCCATGTTGAAAACGTTTCCCTGAAATCTTGACTACAATTTTGAAACACTCCTTATTGTTTTTTCAACATTTTAAACACTGTACTTATTTATATCTTTTGACTGGAAAGTTAATCATTTCTCATGTTGCTTAAAGTTAATATCGGTACTTAAATATATGATGTAATGGATTCATTATTTCCTAATTGCAAATGCAAAAAAAGTTTCAAAGTAGATAGGTTTTAATATCCGAGTGAAATAAATAATTAGAAATGGTGTAATAACTACGCGGTATTTATAATTAGTCGAGTGTTTAATTTAATTGTTTTAGAATTGGAGTTAGGCTAGGAGAATACGATTTACGAAACGCGCAGGACTGCGAAGAAGGATACTGCGCTCCAAAAGTGCAAGATTTCCGAGCGGAAAAGATGATGATTCATCCGAACTATAACAAACGGACATACACAGATGATATAGCCTTGATAAAGCTAGACTATAATGCAAATTTTAGTTATTGTAAGTAGTATTGGATAATTAGTATATAGCTCCGACCCTTTTCTTGTAATGAATTTATAAAAGGCCAATAATAAAGTGACAACCTATTTTCACAAATATACAGATTTTATCAGCGTTGCAGTTTTTTATCGTCAAAATTTTTAACTAGTGTAACGGGTTCAATTTGTCATTGGCTACTTCGACTTATGTTTCTCACATGTAGGTTAATAATGCTCGGAGACTACGTATTAAACGTTTTATTCTCACAATTACACACTGTCTTAATCCTCAAAGCTGTAACTGTTTAATTGCTTCCTGTGGTTTGCCTGTCCTAAAATAAATGTAAATAAGTGTAAGTCCTTGCATTTTTGCTGCAATTTGAGATGTTACGGCGGAATGCGGTTGGATTGCACGAGACGATCGTCAGGTATTCCTTCTTATATCCTAACTAACGGCAATTTCTATTCTTGTTCCTTGCTTTCATTTATTTACAATTGTTGCTTTTTGGAGAGGTTATATTTCAATCCTCTGTCAACGCGAATGCTCTCGGCCATTAGTACAGTTAAGCACTCGACCTTTGGCCCACGTTCGTCTTCAATTTACTAAGACGTTACTGTGTAATCTCATTCATGTGTGTGTAATAATTGACTATTATTGGTAATAGCGGGTAGTAGTTAGGTAATATTTAGTCTCCTTGCGTTGATTAACTTCTGTCATTATTGGCCCATTGACCCTAGTGGTTTCGGAACCGAACATCGTATTGCCAGCACCATCGGTCTCTTTTTTTGGAACTTGGTGAAACTTCATCGATCTTTTTTTTTTTGGCCTTACGATTTCCGCCGGTGCAAGTGGTTGCAAGATTTCAATCCGAATAAGTTTGTGGCATCTCGTAGTTTTCGAGGATTAAACCTTATTGAAATCGTATAGAAGTTGCGGATCGTCGTCTTGTTGGTAGTATTTTGCTTGGACGTCCCCAACATTACAGCTTAGGCTGGATTAAAGCTAACCAACCTAGCACCTGGCACTCTTCACCGCCACCCACGATCATCAGGCGGTTTTTTGATTCTGGTTTTTGGTTTTGATTTTGGATTTGGTGCCTCCTTACATCGTGGACGGCACGTGTTATGAATTCTGCAACCCAAGAATTCGTCAAGTCTTCAAGTTAGCTCGGTTCAGGACGTTGCAGTGCATATCTCCTCGTCCAAGAGTGATAAGCATTCGTGCCTATCCCACTGACTGGTGAACCCGTAGGCAGCATACAGGAGAGCCATCTTTGAGCTTGCCCGACTCGTTCGTTGCTGGTAACTGGAGGATCACAGATAAGCCTCTATTTACGTTTCGGTTAATTTTATTCCTATTAAATACAAATTTCAATTTTTAAATATCAATATAAATTAAAGAGCTCAGTTAGGGTAAAGATAAAGTACACAATTATAGAAACATTTTGTTTGTAAGAGTTATTTGTAAACGATCGATCGTAACCAAGCTTCCTGTGCTTAGTGTGTACTTGAGCCAATATATGGAGATTTAAACTGACATGCCGGTTTATTTATTAATTATTTATTTGGTTATTTGGGTTCGAACTTTGTTAACTTTGTGAGTTTGTTGGGTGGCTAGTGAGCAAGGACACTAGCCACTATCACTAACTTATAGTATAGGTTGGGGTTTTGTCCTAGCTGGCGCCCCGGTCTCCAACCTTTGATTTATTTCCTTTCTTTTTTTATACCCCGCCCATATTTTGAGCAACTGAGCTGCTTGGGCCCTATACTTACTGCTTCCAATCGGTAGCAAAGTGAGCAAAGTATAGTAGAATTGCTTCGGTCTCCCCTCCACCTTCAGTGGAAAAGAGACTTGGCACTAGTTTAGTATTACGTCTAGTAATGTGCAAATGATTTCAGCCAATATTAAACCGATATGTCTTCCGGTGAGCGAAATTAATGACGATCTAACGGGAAAATCGGCTATCGTCTCCGGATGGGGTGCTACGGAAAAAGGTACAGTTACATGTTCTAGCAAAATTTTCTTTAAATTTCAAAATTGCAAATATTCCTAATAGTTGCTAAATCAGTGTAACAGCTGTTGATCAACTCTTTCCATAGCGACAACAAGGGTAATTGAAAAAATCAAAACTCAAGACCTAAATTTTTTGCGAAAAAGTAGTATTTTTATTTAAGTTAACGAAAATTATTTCGCATTTTCATGGAAATGTTCGGGTGACTTTTTATTTAGGAAGGCTTTCCGTTACATAAAATTTCTGCAGTTTGAAACATCCAGTTTAAACTAATTTTAATTCTATCATTTTTTATTGTATTCCATATTTATTATATGTAGCGACATTGTGATGAGCGGAAATGATTTTAGATTACAAAAGCCCAATACTTCTCAAAGTATCAGTACCCGTGTTGTCACTGTCTGTTTGCCATAAAGTGTACCAACAATTTGCTTCAATTACGGATCAGCAAATATGTGCCGGTGGATACAATGATAGAGACTCATGTGGAGGAGACAGCGGTGGACCGATGAAGTATGTCGGACTTGTTGACGGCTCGCCTAGATACATACAGTACGGAATTTTATCATTTGGCCCGAGACAATGCGGTGCCGATGGGCAACCGGGTATTTACACCAGGGTTGGGAGTTATATCCAATGGATTTTGGACAACATGGAAGAATGATTGTCGTTTTCATATTAGTACGTTAATGAAATGTTAAAAAGAAATATTTTCACTTTGGATCCCAAATTCTCAAGATTTGTCAGACATTTTCGTAATGATTGAACTTCGTAAATGCGTGTTATGATTTCAAAAAGATAACTTCGTTAAAATGCCGCCTCCAAACTTCTTCTGTCAGCAGCCTGGTTGGTTGTTAAATGCCGCATTAATTTAATTCGAGATTTTGATTATCGTGCACCTGCATGTCGTTTTCAAAACTTTTTAATCATATTCTGAGCATAGACAATACCTCTGCGCCATGCATTTCATTGGACACGTGCAGCAGCTTGAAAAGTTGTGAATCGAACCTAAATTTGAATTAACATTGCGAAACGCCTTATGGCGAGATGCGTTAAAATTCCTGCGGAATCGAGAATGTGGTTTGGACCTTTAAATTCCTATATGTTGTTTTGCTACCGAGTCTAGTCTAGACGATTATTGATGCGTAGAAATGGTGAGCCCTTTTTTTTAATTTCGTAAGGATTTCTCAAGGAAATCCGTTTATTTGCAGCCTACGATTTGTTTACCGCTCCTGGAAGTTTCAACTTACATGAAAAGGTAATCCATCAACATCTAGTTCTTTCAACCATGTCGCAACCATAATCTAGAAAATGGAACAGTTGGACAGAGCGTTCCTCAATTCAGAATTGGACCATTTAGAATTTTTTGCAACAAAAATATCAAGTAGTAAGGAAAACAGATCAATGATTGTTTAGCAAGATTGTGACAAATAAACATTTCAAAATATGTGTACTGGGTTATTCATTTTATTTTGACGCCTACCTACAGGGTTAATTTTAAAAGATAGAAAAAATGTATAAATACAAAAGTTTTAAGTAAGATTTTTGCTCTATTATCTGATGCAAATGTCAGAAAAAACAAACGACAATCGCAACCTGTCAAAATAACAGCAACATCTTTTTTTTAATCGAATGCCTTATATATTATTAGCTTAAGTCGTAGATAATTTAGCCGTTTTTGAGATATTTCTGTCATTCGATTTCTGGACAATAGCCATATTGCCTAAAATGGTCAAGTCTGCCTTGATAGTAACCATATTCTCTATGATTGTAATTGTTTTAATAATGTTCTACTTTTGACAACTAATCAAAACTAAAGATCTACAGCGTTAGTTAAATAACTTAAGATTTTTCAAATGGGTTATACTGAGGAAGGAAGACGGCAAAGAATAAAATTATATTATTCAACCGGAGATAATGTTGTAAGGGTTAAAAGAGATTTTTTTTAAATTAAAAATGTAATTAAACAATTTGAAGACCGAAATAGTCTCACACGGAAGATCAGGACAATTGAACGAAATTTTGATAAAGACCACAATATATTGCTTTACTTTAATTAATTAATAATTAATTTTTATTCTTTTGAAGTTTGCTAAGTTTCAGTTTTACGCATCACTAGATATCACGTGAAACAAGATTTGACAAGACACCACCTACCTAAAACTTAAATACATAAATATAACCAAATAAATGAAGCATATGTGGGGGGAAGGGAACTACGTGTAGGGATTACTTAGTGCGGAATAATAATAATAAATCGCATCGAATATAACGCTGAGTGTGATAAGACATACCCCAATACCCTTGGAATTTAAAATACTTTCAATGCAGGGAAATGCCAAGGATCGCATAGCATTGAATGCACAGTAAATAATTGAGGATTTAATTGCAGCATATAGGTACCCGTGGCCAATTAAGTAAGGCAAAGTACCCTAGCTCGAAAAGTAATGTAAAGATTTGGATAGGAAAAATATTATTTTTATTATTACCGTCCTCTTAATAGAATTTGGTGCGGAGTATCCGAACATTTTCGGAAAAAAGTGTCAATAACTTCATAATGCCTCAACACTTGTTGTTAAATTTGGTTTGTTGTTAGATTTTGATGATTGGTTCGTGATTATTCAGTAATACCCGCTGAACCATGCGATGAGTTAAACATCAATCGCAGCGAACAATGCCTTTAGTCAACGGGTGATTTTGTGTGGTTGTGTTGAAATGTGACTAATTTTGGATTACGTGTTTGTTATCTAACAAGATTTTCACAAATCTGGCGCTATATTTCCTAAATTGAATGTGGGAAGTAAAAAAAGGCTCTTTCAGGTTATCAACGCTTCCCGAACGGATTGATTTGGATTTATAAATACCTCGATATAACTTTTACTGCAATGAAATCTTGGAATTTGGTTTAAAGTTTCACTGTTCACAGTTTCCACTGTACCCAATTTACTTAATAACACTAAATAATTATAAGTTAAATATATATTTAAGTACACCAACAATACAAAATTGTCTCTTAATCTTAATATGGTCGCTAGATATTTAAAATGCAGCTGGTATTTTGACATTGAAGTTCTGATGGATCTGTGTATGTTATGTACGATAGCAGAAGTATACTATGTAACACGTTTATAAACTCGTTGCGCTCGTTGGGAAAAATATATATTTAAAACTTGTAGCATAAAATACAATTTTATATTGTAATTTTTTCTATTGAGTTTAGTTTTATTAAAATCCATTTGAAAACTATTACGCAGTGCTAAACATTTTTTTAAATAACATTACGTAGGTAACTGCTTGCTAATCGGCAAATAAAACGGGAAATTGTAACACCATTTAAGTAAAGAAACGTTATAACGACCAACTTCCATTTGAATATATTTGCTAACTCAACGGTCAGGGCTGTAAAACCTAAATCTCTAATTCTCAGTAATAGAGTGCGCCGAAATAAATTCAAATGAGGCTGTAATTACCTTAAATTAGCTTTCTCGACGGATGGTTCCATTAGTAATCGAATTGGTAAATCAGTTTATGAAATATCATCGGCCCAACAGGTTGTTCGTTGAAATGTTCAAATTGTTGTGTTTTTCTGTGATCTTCGAAATTTCCGTCGGATACACAATAAGTAAGTGAATAGTTGCAGTACTGTTTAATTTATATCAATTTCATTGTCTCGTTCGGTTTAGCTTATTTAAATGTTTGGTTTCCTTTTCGAATATATCGGGTGTCGAGAATATTATTTTCCACTTCCGGTCAAGCTCACCATTTTAAATGCAGTCTTGCATGTTTTTACTAAATGTCAAATTGCCTTTTTAACAGTTTATCGCAACCTGACATTTATAATCAATATGACGACACTATTGGCAATTTTCAAATAAATCGAGTTATCTGGGCGGATCCACAAAACATAAGTATATCGCCACAACTAACTAAATGGATTTCAATATTTTTAAAAAACGTACAACATTAACTTCAGCGTTGATATCAGTGGTCATTCGATTGTTCATTGTCTCATTTTCTATAGCCTTCAGGGATGAAATATCGTGCCAGATGCCTATGGGCGATAAATGCGTCGGAATTCGGGAATGTCCATTTTTTTCCGAATTGCTAGACAGAACTCCGATCCCGCGGCCAAGGAGCGTCGCGAAAATTTTGCGAGACCACCAGTGTGGATTTGAATATAAGAATAATAAGATTAAACCAAAAGTTTGTTGTGTCACGTATGTATCATGCTGCTTTTCATAGTTACAATTTATTTGTTGTTTCGCTTTTCCCATTTGTATTTTATTAATTTTAGAAACACTGCTCCTGCGCCGCCAACCACTGAATCGTCTTCTCAGCTGGCGGAGAAAATTCCTCTAGCATTCGCTAGATTTAGAAGTCACAAGAATTTTCACCTCTTACCATTAAATGTATGCGGTTCCATCGCAACGAATTCCAGGATTACCTCTGGAAAGCAAACAGGATTGGAAGAATTTCCATGGATGGCCCTCATAGCATACAACACAGGTACGCTTAAAGATTTTTTTATAGAAAATTTAAATATCTACTGATTAATTTTATATTACATTACACATTTACATTTTACAACCGCCGCTATTTGGTATTACATAACCCATGCTAATTTAAAAAAAAAACCTTAGAAATTGCTGCGTTATGTTTTTTTCTATTATAAGTAAGGGGTGTTTTTTTTGGATGTATAGAACTTTAAGTTGCAATAAAACAACGATGGATTATTCGATTGACATGAATTTTATTTATCCGAAAGGTAATCTTGTGGCATTACATTTTAAATATGGTTTCTGGCATACGATTGCCACGGCTGGCGCGGATGTAGTCCAATCGAGACATCCAATTTTCGATTAATTTTTCCAACATTTGTTACCGTATATCGGCAATAACACGGCGAATGTTGTCTTGCAAATGGTCAAGCGTTTGTGGCTTATCCGCATAGACCAATGACTTTACATAGCACCACAGAAAGTAGCGGTAGTAGAGATATGTATAATAGAGGCTTCCCCCACTCCTCTCCCTTTTGTGGGCGTGTCCTCCTTCCCCACGACTCTTTAGCTTCTCCCCCTTTACCCATAATCCCTTGAAACTGGCCCCCATTGGATAAGCAACCAGAAATGCGGTTTAATCAATCTCCCCACCTCTAGTTTGCGATGGCGGCGAAGCCAATCAGGCCCAGATATTTTCCCACCCGTATGAAAAGCAATGGCGTCAATGAGACTAGATCATATTGTTCGCGTGACCATCTGCACCCTCTAGCGGTTCGAATGTAAACTAGTGTCCCCTCTTGGAATAAGATTTTCTTTAATAAGGTAACCCCACCTAGTGAATATTGACCAAAACATTTATTTTAAAAACATATAATTCTGCGAATGTGTACCCTCGCGGGTACAAACTGTACTTTTATTGCGCACAAAGGACAGGGGAAATAAAGACGAAAAGTATTGGATTTCTTTTCTCGGAACTGGAAGCTGGCAGGCACCACCAATAATATCTGCAAAACAAAAACCTGGTTAAAATTTTCATTAATAAAGTAGGATATTAGAAACCATATACATTATTAATTTACTAAGCCATCTACCGTGCGTTAACTTCATACATATTTCCGCATGCTTCTGTTTTAAGGTATCGTGAGATATTTGACTATTTATCTGGGAAAAGTTCATATGTCGAAAATATTATGTGTATGTGGCCGTGGTAGGCTTTCTTTGCTATTATAATTTTATTTTTATTATTTAATATTTACAAAATTAATTTATCTATCTTATTGATAATTTTGATTATCTTTGCTATTTTATTATTTGTTTTTATTATTTAATATTTTCAAAATTAATTTATCTATCTTATTGATGATTTTAAGATATCGCAGTCAACTTTACTATTTCATCAATTTCTTTTATTTATTGCTGATCTTTGAGGATAGTGTACATACTTTTTTTTTCGTAACTTATCTGTATCTACCCTTTAATTTCCTATCAAGCCATAAAGCAAACTCGAAAGGCATCTTAACTAAAAAGTCATATACTTTAAAGCTGCTGCTACTACTACATGAAAGTGTGTTTCTATGGCAATTTCAACAACAATGAAATCTGGACGCTTATACTAAATACTGTAATACTCTTCTCTGCTAACGCTCTAGGAGACGCTATTTGAACCCTGTTCAAAGAAAAACTTCTACAGCCCAAATAACCTCTCTGAACCACACTTAAGCGCATCACTCTTTCACTGTCTTGCAGCCTTCAGATTAATATTCCGTACTAACTACGTATGCCATACACGAAACATTCTCTTTCTAATTTTTTTCTATGCGCTACATTAACGAACAGGATCTAAACTTTTCTGTCTGTGTATTTTGTTAGCCACCTTAAAAAAAATAAAATAGGTATGCGAACCTAGAGGATATTTTC